CCGTGAATAATCATCAGTAAAAGTTAAGAAGTAGTGGTAGTTCCCCTTGGCACTAACATTTAGTGGTCCACAAACATCTGTATGGATCAAATCCAACAGACCTTTAGCTCGCTCCACTTGTCCAACAAATGGTGATTTTGTCATTTTACCTTTAAGACATGATTCACATGTAGGCAACCTTTCCTCTCCCCTAAGGTCGAGTTTTGGTCCCAATTTGTGAATCCTCTTTTCAGATATATGACCTAATCTAGCATGCCAAATTGTGAATGAACTGTGATTATCTAATTTCCTTTTATTTTGTTGAATGGTTAGGATGGGACTTTCTGGTGTAATGGTATATAAACCATTTGTCAAATTTCCGGAATATATAAAAGTTGTATCTTTGAAAATGGAACATCTTCCATTCTCAATTACGAACTTAAAACCTTATCTATCCATTACTGGAATAGAAATAATGTTTCTTATAACATCCGGAACATACAAACAATTTGTTAGACAAATTTTTACACCATTATTCAAAGCTAGATAAACAGTCCCAATTGCTTTGGCGACAACTCTTGCCCCATTGCCCATCCTTAGGATTGTTTCATCATTTTCTAGCTTTTTACTTCTTGCCATAATTTGCAAATCATTGCAAATATGTGAGCCACAGCCGGTATCCAATACCCAAGAAGAATCGTTAACCGATAAGTTAACTTCAACAAAATAAATACCTGAACTTTTCAGGCTTGCAAGATACTTCTTGCAGTTCCTCTTCCAATGCCCGGTTTTACCACAATGATAACATTTATTGGGTTCAGTTAATTTGTTTTGTTCCATGATACTTGCAATTGGATTTTTAGCTATTTTAGTAGAGTGATCTACAAAAATAACAAACGAAGCAGGAAATAATTAGACTATGGAATTCATATTCATTTAACATTAGGTCTTTAATATTAAATGTCTCCCACTATTTTAATTAAAACCCATTTTTAATTATGAAAATCAAATTTTCATAATGGGCTTGAAGTCCAATAAAAATATTTCATATCCCAATTTTATGAGTACGCATGAAACAATTTTATCGGTAGTCAACTTTTGACAATTGTATCTCTATACAACCTTCAAGATATTTTGCCTCACTTTTCCTTATGTACCTCAATTTTATGACCGTATATATTACTAGGTGTCAAATCAAACCCATCAAAACATTCATGATAACGGCCCACCAGAGTGTTCCACGACTCATGGCCAACACAAAGAGGAATCCGTCTCACGAGTATCTCTATACTTAGTAGAAATCACAGCTTTCGACATAGAATCATCCCACGACTCGTGGCCAATGATAAAACATTGTAGCATCTCATGTCGTCTACTTTTGATGGAAGGCCTGGATTAATAAGTCCCAGCTTATTTTTATCCATTATTGATATGATATAGAATTAATCAAATTAATTCTTTTGGGTTCTTTAGATCTTATCGATTACCATCTTTACGTGTGTTTATTTACCGTATTATTCGTCACATGAATCACAAACGCATAAATAAACCTAACATACATCTAATGCATGCATACGGTGGGATGATCATGACCTTGCCTATACGACCCATTCGAGCCAAAATGGGTCTATGCCTATGTACGTGATAAAACAAACAAATAGAACTACTTCTATTACATTTTATTTTATCTACCCGTACAAGCACAGGCCTTAAAAAATTTACAACTTGTAAAATTACCCACACAAGTGTGGGCCTTTTGCATCGAACGGTCTCCACCTAGATCTAATCTTTAACGATACAAAATTTAAAATTTTACAAATCATAACACAAGAGACTCGTAGGTCTCGATAAATTACATTCATTCAATCGTATTGAAAAATGCAACCATTCAATCACATTGAATAAAAAAAACAAACATTCAATCATATTGAAAAAGCTCATGATCATCCCTTAATATGCTAAAAACATTCATCACATGAATTAAAGCATAAAAAAAAATTGTTTTAGTCACACGACTGGGTCACACGACTGGTCAAACGACTCCTGTCATGCCACACGACTCGTGTCAAAAACGTCACACGACTCGTGTGAAAAACCCGAGAGCAATATCAAACTTTTTGATAAGCCACACGACTCGTGTGACTACTCACACGACTCGTGTGGACCTGCTTTAAAGCAAAAATCAAACATTTTGATGAACCACACGACCCGTGTGACTCCTCACACGACTCGTGTGGCCCCACACGACTCGTGTGGAGAAAAATCAAATTTTATTTTAATAATTAATATGTTTATCTCATAAACATTTAATTATTATGTTTATCTTATAAACATTAACAAATTAAAATCTGTTTTTAAAGATGATAACCGTGGCTCTGATACCACTGTTGGGTTCGCCTGTACTGTACGAGCTATATGCAGCGGAATTTAAAATTTTTCAAAACAAGTATTTAACCTTTAAATACTTTACTCGTGCATACATATGGCGAATTAACAGATCGTCATCTTTAATAACATGTAATAATACAAATTTTGATTTGTTGTAATTAAATTCTAAATTTACCTTAGTCTTGAACTCCTTCAAAATTGTCGATGGATGAGGGAATCGATTCCCGGTTTGGTAACAGCAATACTTTGTGTTTACTCGCTTAAGGAATCCACGTGTCTTCCCTCTAAACGTATCCACCTTTTGAAGTCCGGTTCCGAACTAGTTCCTTCGCTAGTAGAAACTAATCGGTTTTTATTCAATTAGTTTGGAATATATTTATGAGGAAATTTTTACAAGAACTCTTTCTTGTAGTTTGAAGATTTTGAAGAACACTTCTTCTTTTCTCTCTTTTTCAATTCTTTGAAAAATTAAGATCAAATCTTAATATCAAATCTTATCTTAAGACTAAGTTTAAAACTCCTTTTAAACTTAACTTAAATATCAATATATTTATGATAAGATTTACAAGAACTCTTTCTTGTATTTTGAGAGATTATTCAACACTTGAATTTTCTTCTTAAGAACTTAGAACATTTCTTAGTTCTCTCTTTTTCAACTCTTTGAAAACTTATATGGAATTCATTAAGATCAAATCTCAAGATTAAATTTGAACATCAAACATGTCCATATTTATACTAAACATTTTAGTATAAAATAATAATATTGGGTAGAATATTTTCATAAAATATGAAAAGTCTTCAAGAATATTTTCATAAAATATTAAGTCTTGAACAAGACTATTCCCCACCCAATATTCAATTAATAAGAATAAGATTAATTATGTTAAGTAGTTAGCATCTCTTAACCACCATAATTAATTATTCTTATTAATATTTAATCTTTAATCATATTAAAGATATATAATAAAATAATAATTCTTGAAAGCATCTTTCAAGACTTTATTATTTTAATCTTTTATTCCATTTCCTCATTTTAATAATCATATTATTATTTGGATTTGAAATTTAAAATCTAATTTTAAATTCCAAATATTAGTTAGTAATTCCATTAATTACTAAATTAATATCCAAAATTTCAATTAATCAATCCAATTGATTAATTTAATATATTCCTTTATTGACATCTAATCAAATTAGATTTTGTCAATTAATTCTAACTCTTTAGAATTACTATTTGAATTTAACCTTCATTCAAATTTAGGTGTGACCTTTTAGGTTCACAATTAATACTAGTAGTGGGTTTACAACTCTTTGTAATTTGAGTTAATCTTATTAACTCTTATTCATGAATTAACTCCTTAATTCAAGAACCCACATATCATGGGAACATCTAGCAAGTAGCATGAATCTAGTATTAAGTGAATAGCGAGTAAACCTATTTCAATTACAAGTCCATACATGTAAAATCCTTTCGACATCCAATTTCCCGATCAAATCTTGGGTATGATTTTAGTCGAAACCCAAATTGATTTAATAACTATGATTCAATTTCATGTTTAGTAATTCGTGTATGAATCTCTATTCATCCCGCCTTGGCCAAGGACTTTGAATTACTAACTATGAAACACATAGGAAATTCTCGTATCTTCATACTTGTCGAATCCTTTGTTGGCCACTAACAAACTTCCATACATATTAACATAATACCCAAAATATCCCTTTATACGATTGTGCTAGCAACCAAAAGGATAAATCAAAGTAAAACGTAATATGCACAAAGTTACCATTGTGCCTCAAGTCTAAGGATTAGTCATGTACTATTGTAACATGAAAATTCTTATTCAACAGATTATTAACTAAAATAATTCTTCATTAAGAATTTTCATACGGTCATGTTCAGTGAACTTGTTCTCTAACAAGCACCCACATATATGTACTTGCGTCCCACGCTAATGTTGATGGAATGCAACATTCTTGTCAAACAAGCATACATACTATGTACAAGTCTTTTATGGATTATTCGATATCCCTTCTCGAAACATCCATTGACTTGGAACTTTATTTAAGACCACAGCTTTCAAGGTATGTTCCATGATCACCATCTCTATGCGCAACCATACCTTATAACTATATGTGATCTAATGATTTTATCTTAAGTGCAAATATAGGATAAATGCTTACTCTTAAGATAAAGTAATGCCTTTTAATTAATATAATTCCAATAGATTGTATTTACAAGTAGAATACGTCCAATCTGATTGGAACGCCGGGCATCCTACTCTAACACCCTGCTCCTCGAGGACGACTCTCCACGCCTCGAGGTCGACTCTTTGCCCCTCGAGGTCGACTTTGCACACATGGGAGAAGTCCATCTAGGATAAATCTAAGTCGATCTCTTATATTCAAGATCGATGTCTCGCGCCTCGCAGCTCGAGGTATGCAGTAGCCTAAATAAAAAAACAAGGCCTTACATTGGCCAAAACAAATTGTTCTTTCAAAAACAAGAAGATCAACGATTGACGGAGTCATTTCCGCTACTAGAGGTATCTCCATGGCCTGTCGACGTCCTTCCTCCTAAAGAACTAGCATCTCCTGATGATGCCTACCACACTATAGTTTGAATTGAGATCAAGCTAGGTAATCGTCTTCACCTGCACTAGGGGATCGATTCGTTCATTGAGCATCGCCTCAGCATCTTGGTCTGGTTCGGTGCCTTCATCTTTGGTCAAATCTAGGCAATCCTTCTTAAATCCAAGTGTTTGCCTTGCTCCATGGTCTTCAGAACCCACTGGATGGCATCCGCCTTCTATGCCTTAGCCAGAATTCTAGTGTCATCATCAGAACCAACAACTGTCTCCTTACCTATCTCCATCTCTTATCACCCAACGCGTATCCTTTTGCATGACCGATCTCTTTCTAATGTACGGAAGCGTACGAGTGGGAGATAATAAAAGAGATTCAATCTCTATAAAACACGCTCAATATCTCTTATTCAATCATCAACTCAGGAAAATAAACTAGAGGGAGCCCTTTATATAAGACACATAAACCCTAAACCTAACTTGTTCACCAAGACTAAGTAAAATAACAAATAAATACTAAATGCTAAAAGTAATAAGAATAGTAGATACTACCAAATATTCTTGTATTAATAAATATTTTGATAATCTGTCTACACCACTTTCTCTTTCTGAAGACCGACCTTTTTCCCTCGAGCCAAGTCGACCTGCAGACCCTCTTCAAAGGATGTGGCTACTCTATCAGAATACTTCTTGGCCTCCTCTCTCTCGTGCTCAAGCTTCTTTTGAGCCTCAGACAACATTTTGGTCAGAGGATCTACTTCAGCGGTGTGGTTGTTCTTCAGCTTGTCGATATCATGTCTCAACTCACCAAAACGACGCTCGTGTCTGCCATCAGCCTCCTGTAGATGGGATTTGATGTTATCCTTTTCTCTGGTGAGTTCGATGTACTCTTTAAAGACCTTCCTATACTTCTCGCTCACCTAATCGATGGGATCCACCAACACCTTTATGTGGTCTCGACATTTGTCATGCTCCGCCTAGAGCTTTTGGTACTTAGAACAAGTCCTCAATGTTTATTTTTTAGTATGGCCATTTTGTTGTTATATAGTGTTCTACTCGGCAACAAGTCAAGTGAGAGAGGACTTTATCTCGAGGGTGAAGTCCAAAAAGAAAGTTGAAAAACTAAAACAGATGTTGTCGAGGAGAAAGAGCAAGGGGCCCTCGAGTAAGGGTAAGTCATCAGGGATTGATGAATCGCCGATCCTTATGGAAGTTAAAATAAAGTCTCAACCGAGGGTGAGTTCACAAAAAAAAGGTTTAAAGTGTTGATCAGGAAGATCGCTAGGTAGATCGTCTAGCAAGACAAAGTGATAGAAAGAAGAGACATTGGGCAGCGATCGTCCTATCACCCCTCCCATGATGCTTGAGGTCGAGACTGATGAGGAGCCGATGCAGAAAGAGACATAGCCAGTGGATGAGGCGATCGCTGGAGATTGACAATTGGCGTGTGAGAGGGATCACATGGAAGTGCAGGAAGAGACCTCTCGCGACCTATCAGGAGAAGATCGTCATTATTCTTCCTGGAGGAAGATCATCAGAATGTTGACCAATTGGCAAGGTAGAGATCGTTAGACAGATCCTGAATCCCAAGATGAGGTCAAGGGATATGTTGCTCGGGGAATGAATGGCAGATACCTCCCTTGCGATTCCAGTCCTATGGATGCTACAAAGAACATGGAGGGATATGTCTCCGAGTGGTTTTGTAACATCATTTCATCGGCGACTTCTCAGATTCTGAATCCTCAGAAGATGCCAAAAGTAGTAATGCAAGCGACGACTTTACCTATGATGGCTTGGACCCAAGGGCTTCAGAAGCGGTGTCATTGATTCAACTATAGAGATAAAGCTAGTGGTCGATGGGTATCTTCCTCAAGTATATACGCTTATTATAAAAACCCTACTGAAGTGCACCAAAATTACTTGTCTGGCTCAATTAGAGTGCTATTAAAACCTAGATGAAGGCCTACCTTGGCCAATTCTTCACTCTTCGCACAACTTACAACAGCTCCTCTCATGAATCATCAAAGTTAGAACTTTTCCCAGCTTCTCAGCAAAATCTGCATCCACAGGCAAAGGTTTTTATTATCCGCTATACCAACAAAATCATTATCTTCAAAAACTATCAAGATAAAAAATAAAAAAATAAGAGCGATAGAGCTGATATAATACTTACGCATTTTGTCCACGAAGGAAGTCGGCACCTGATGTTGTCGACCCGATGGCCCACGACCTCTCCATTCTCCTGCATCCAGAACCACTCCGGCTTCCAACCATGTTGTGACACAGGAACATCCTTCACCAGGTTGGCATACTTATTATGGTGCAGATGAAGGTGGAAGTACCCCGATCCTTCTTTCACAGTTCTCCACACGTAGATGGAATCTAGCTCCTCCCTCGTCGAGGTCGACCATCCTCTCGCGATGAACATCTCCACCAAGAAAATCAAATGTTATATCACGTTCAGATGTACCTGAATAATAGCGATCCCCACTCCTTCAGATATTCAACGATCACGGGGGAAAAGAGAACCTCAACCCCGACAGAATGGCCTCTTTGTGCACAATCGATATGCATGCACTGACGTAATTTAGTCATTCTATTATTGCTGTCCCGTGCATCGCACGAGATAAGTATTAAATAAGTAAATATATTTGTAAGGAAATTATTTTAACAAAGTATTCCCCATTAACGCAAAAAATAACTAAATTTGTTTATTAAGATCGTTATGGCCCAAATAATAAGATATCCTCATAAAATTGAGGAAAGGAATTTAAAAACTAGTAACATATCTACTTCGACAAGACCCGACAATTCGAATTTCATGTTCAATTTTTTTATTTTTTATTTTATTTCATGTTCAACTTATTGCATGTTTTTTAGAACTGGATATATAACATTTAAATAATTTCAACGTCACCTCCACCACAAATAGAATATAAAAAGAAAAATTTGGAACAAATGTAGTGTTGTAAATCAAAGAGATAATTACGCCTGCCACCATCCATAAGACATTTATTTATACTCTTACGAGACAATAAAATACAATAGCAAATCTGTCACAACTTGTATTTTTTTGTAACTTCATTTCCTTTTTATCTTTTTTCCTTTTTCTTTTCTTTCCCCTTTTTCTTTTCCTTCTATCCTCATACTTCCCGTCATATTTTTTTTCTTCTTCTTTACCAATCCCCAATTTTCTCCCAACCCTCAATTTCAGAAATTCCTTTTCAATTGTCTTCTCTCTGATGTTGAAGGCCTCTAGACCCATGGTTTCCGACGGTTGGAGAGGGCTGACGGACGGCCAATTGACAGTGGTCCCGTCGGCTATGGCGGCGTCGGTCCGAGCTTTGCTGTTGCAGTCGTGCGACGTGGTCTCATAAGCGACCCGTGGATTGAGGGGAACCCGAAAGAGCAGCGGCCTTTTTCCTTTTTCCTCTTTCTGACGGGTTTATGTTAATTCTGATTATTTTATGCGGGAGTTCAATTAGGGCTTGGGTAATGTGGATTAATTGAGAGTTTTTCCGCGCATGTGAAGATGGATAAGAAATTTGAGGCTTGAGTAATGTAGATTAATTTCAGAGTCTAGAGTTATTTTCAGTATATGTTCTGTATATGTTCGGTCTACATATATAAACCCAGAAAATTGGAGTTATTTTCAGTATATGTTCCGTATATGTTCGGTGTATGTTCAGTATATATATATAAACCCAGAAAATGTATATGTTCGGTATACATATGTTCGGTATATGTTCGCCTGGATATGGTGTTTATTTTTCAGAATATGTTCTGTATATGTCCGGTATACATATATAAACCCCCCAAAATATAAA